CCCCGGAGCGGGGCGCCGCTCTGGCGGGAAGGAGGGGGCCCTGCCGGCCCGACGGGAGCCGCTAAGGGAAAAAGTTTCCGACGTCCGTGCACGCGGCGCGCGTACACCTAATGTGTAATGGACGTGAACAACACATCTCGAAGAACAACAGTTACAGAAGGTAAGTAACCGGTCTTTCCCCCTCCACCCCCCCCGCTCAGGGCGGGGGAGGGGGGGGCCCCCGCCGGCGCGGGGGGAGCCGCTAAGGGAAAAAGTTTCCGACGTCCGTGCACGCGGCGCGCGTACACCTAATGTGTAATGGACGTGAACAACACATCTCGAAGAACAACAGTTACAGAAGGTAAGTAACCGTTCTTTCCCTCCCCCCCCCCCATCCAAATCTGGAATATGTGGAGAAAGTACAGCTGGTCCCATAACCCTTTGGCTGAAGTGGAGACGAGTGAACATTAAGTGGCTTCTCTGATCTTACGAATTCTGTACCTACAAGTATAGAGCTGGAAAAGCACCTTTCCCAGAGGTTGGTGTCGGGCCCTCCCTAGTGAATTTTCTAGCTGGCATGCTTGTCTGGTTGAAGTATTTCATTAGCTTTTCAGAAGATGGTTAGTGTTGCAGTGAGACAGACAGAAACAGGATCTGGTCCTTGTTTAGGGGAGAAAGGTGTGCCTGGTAGCTTTCTGAGTGTCCTCTGGGCCAGGCCACCTGCGCATGTGAAAGGGCTCTGGTGTTCTCTTTGTGTGTGGGTGGAAGGTCTTATTAATGGATACGGTTGCAACAGCTCATCTGTATGACTACATCAGACTGATTAGCTGGGGCCTGGTTACTGCTGCGAGTGGTGATTATGCCAGTGCAGCTGTTCTCTCTCTCCTTGTATCTGTTAATTACCACACGCATGGATGTCATCACCTCTTAAAACTGCATGGCATTGTCCCATTAGTGAAGGATGTGGGAAGCAGCAGGGGAGGGGAACTCTTTGGAGCTACTGGCTATTTAGAAATGAATGGAGAAGTGGGTTGAACGAAGCAGGTGTCGCTAGGGAGAACTTCCAGCTGTTCTTACCTTTGAGATTCCATCTTTAGCTATCAGTTTCACAGCATGGCAGAGCTGGGCACTTGCCATCATGTTCCACTGGGTGCCCCTTACTGAGAGACACCTGGACTTCAAACTGTAGTTAACTAGCCATGGGCCTCCAAGCGCCCGATCACTGAGTGTGCAGGACCGCAGCTGAACAAATGGGTTCCATTCCTTTGATGACGGTCAGAGGCTAGTTCAGAAAACTAGTTTCACCAACAGTGATTCCTCGGGAGAAGGCAGCTCTCTAGGAAGAGAGGGAGACTGTTTACTCTGTGATTTGTGGAAAAATAGGTGTGCAACAGAATCCTCTTGTGGCTTTTCTGTGACATTTCAAATGTTTATCGTTTTCCAAATGTAATGCTCTTTGCTGTTATAAGCCACTTTCTCCTCCCCGATCCATCAAAATCCACAATCCCCATTTCGGAGAGTGCACCACAGTCTCCATGGCAACGGGTGCTACCAGTGTGCATGTGATTTTTTGCTAGCTAGTCAAACGGGATGGCCATTCTAGAAGAGTGGGGGAGGGGTTTGTGGAAAGTACACCTCTACCCCGATGTAACGCTGTCCTTGGGATCCAAAAAGTCTTACTGCATTATAGGTGAAACCGCGTTATATTGACCTTGCTTTGATCTCTCCCCCTCCGGAGCGCTGCTTTACCACGTTATATCCGAATTCATGTTATATCGGGTCGCGTTATATCAGGATAGAGGTACACTTAGCAAAACACCAGGGACCTGTTCTTTCCACTCTGACACTGAGCTTCTGTGAACACCACTGACTTCCAAGCGACACCAAGGGCAAAGATAGTGACTGGCCTCTGTCTTTCAGAGAAATCCTAAAGGACTCATTTGCTATTCACAATCCTTTCTGAGGAGAGACTGAAAGTTGCCTGTAGCTAGAAATAATGTGTCACATAACTCTGCTGATCTATTTATTTGTCTGACAGTTGCCAGGATAGGGCCCCCAGCACCTAGGCATTCTTTAAACGTGTACTAAAATAGTCCCTGCCTCGAAGAGCTTACAGTCTAAATAGACATGGGTGGGAGAGGAAATGGAGCCACAGAGACGTAAAGTGACTTGGCCAGCCTCTCACAGCAGGTCAGTGGTAGCACTGGAGTAGAACCCACATCTCCTGGGTCCCAGTCCAGGGACTTAATCAACTGATCATGCTGCCCCTGGATCCCAAACTGCTGCTATTCCAGGCCTAGGTCCCCACAGCTGTGACAATGCACCACAGTGCTAACCTGCAGCACCCCCATACTGTTGCAGCCAGGTTTTGATGAGCTAAAATTGACTAGTGATTCTAATGGGAACACACATTTCACTTGTGACTCAGAGCAGATTAGACCCCAGACCTCTTGAGAGGAAAGTCTAGACAATTGGCATGTCACTTACGATTGCTCCAGGTCAGCATTTTAACTTGCTTCCTGCATAACCCTCCTTAGCCTCCTTAATGAATCGTCTTTTTTTAAAGTACTTCTTGGTCCTCTGTCTGAAGCCCTGATGCTCAGAGCCCCCTACTGGAATCTGCCCTGGATGGCCCAGTGTTCTGAAGCAGCTTCCCCCACTTACCCCAATGGCCAAACCAGCACATTGCTGCTCTTTTCCATTTCTCCCACCGTGGTTTTATAGTCTCAACCTCTCCTAAGTTTACCAAATTTCCTGACTATGTGGAGTGTGGTTGGCATGTAAAATCCTGGCCCATAGGTGATTGAGAATGCAGATGGAGTTTGCAGGCTTCTGCGGAGCTGTTATGACTTAAAGTTGAGGGATGGAGTCTCCTTCCTTAGAGGTTTTTAAGGTCAGGCTTGACAAATCCCTGGCTGGGATGATTTAGTTGGGAATTGGTCCTGCTTTGAGCAGGAGGTTGGACTAGATGACCTCCTGAGGTCCCTTCCAATCCTGATATTTTGTGATTCTATGATTCTATGAGATTAGCACAAGTTTATGCCCTGCAGTATTGGGCTCAAGTGAGATTGGGAAGCAGAGGCAGCTGGTGCTTGGTATGGAGCAAGCCATAGCTTAGGGCCTTGCTAAGGGAACAAAATTAATTTGGTGAAGGGGACTGTGGTGGGAGGCAAACTGAATTCAGAGGGTGTATGTCACTTCTGTGCTTGTGCGTCTCCTCGGTAATCTCTGGACTCAGCATTTCCTTCAACGCTCTGCAGCCTGGAAGGGGGAAGTTAACCAGTTGCTAAAGGCAATTCAGGAAACAATTAACATGGATTAGATCCCATATCATTTGTAGATGGGGCTCAGGTTTGTTTAATAGCTAAGCCATGCATGTAGCTGTTGGGCCATTGCTGGTGGAAGCCTGTACATTTCCTGGCTGACACAGTTCCCCTAGTTGTGTGACGGTGAGAGCATGAAGATGGGAAGTGGGGCTAATAAAGGGCCAGAAAATTCCAAGTTGTGCTGCTGTCCAGCTTGATGTGAATATACCATCAGCTCCCAGCTTTCTTATTAATTAGTGTCAGTGAAGGGACTCTGCAGCTGTGTAGCCCACTATGTAAGTGAAGATCTGATGATGGAGCAGCTGTCCTGCTCCACAGCTATCTGCTGAGCGCTCTGTTAAACATTTGTGGATGTATGTATATGTTTCTATCAGATGCTTACTCTCCCTGACAGGTTAGTTGTTTCTTGGAACAGCCTGTAAATAAGTGACTAACCTCCCTGCCCAGCTGTGCTGCCACAGGGAATTCAAGTGTTTGAGCCTCCTTGGCAACCCTGATTTTTTTATTGCTCTTTCAAATAATCCATTTCTGTGACTTTTTTCAGAGAGTTTTCAACGTCCTGTACCCGATGCCTGCTGACCAGAGGAGACACGTCAGCATAAACTCTGCTCGCTGGCTACCTGAGCCAGGCCTGGGATTGGCATATGGCACTAACAAGGGGGACCTGGTGATTTGCCGACCAGAGTAAGTGGCATGGCTTAGAACCTGAGAGAAACCTTAACCATTCTGCTTTTTATGGGGAATCAGGCCAGGGTGGCTTCTCCTCACGTAGGGCTGTGTTAGGGGGCAAGGGGTCTGACTCTGGTGGGGTTTTTTTTTTTTTTTTTCGTTTTTTGTTTGAGCAGTTGTAAAGTTTACTTCAGTCTTTGAAAATTAAAGTAACAGTGTTTCTGCCCTGATGATGAAACCTGTGAGGCAGAGTGGGGACGGGATATCTCACATATCTTATTTCTGCTTGCTATAGTCTTCACAATCCTTCCAGATGCTCTAGTGCTCACATATGCCCAAACATCTTTGAATCTGCCAGGAATATTCAATGTGAGATTATATTAACCAGAACATTTTGTATGGGCTGTTAGAACAATTCAGTGAATTGTTGTGGCTCTAGCATGAAAAGCCACTGGTCTGATCCAGTCTGGCAGTTCTATTTATTATTTATACAGCACCGTAAGTATGCATGTCACTTTATAGATTTGCAAGTAGACACAATCTAATTTAGAAATTATACAACATAGGAAGAGATAATGACAGGCAAAGGAGTTCCTGGTAGTGGACTGCTTACACACTTCTCTTGTGATATGAGAGGTTCATCAAGGGGACTTAGGAACTAAATGTTATGGCTGAGATCCCTTCCTCCACTGGCAAGTCCACGTGTTCTTTGTAGCTCCTTTTGAAATGCAGGACACTTCTTATATATTTCTGCATTAGTGATTTCCGGTTGATGAGCTGCCTTTGGCACTGAACTGTGCCCTTGTTTGGGGTTATGTTTCACTTGCTGAGATACCTGGGGAGTGAAGTTGCTCTCTTTCTTTCTGTAGAAGGTGCAGCTGTAATCCTGCAGCAGATGAGCTCATTGGAATACTAGAGCATGGAAGCAATTTCCTTCTGCTCTGCATGCGATTGAGCATGTGGTACTTGTAAAGTGTTATATGGTCAGCATAAAACTTATTGAATTAGGGCAAATATAGACTATTTTTATAATTACTAATTCAGCAGAGAGCCACGGGGGAAACTGCAACCAGAGCTTGAATTGAGCCAGTATGCAGTGGTACAACATACCAGCACCTCTTTCAAACTACTTGCTGATTCTCCAGAATCTCAGCTTTCATTAAGGCCTTATCTACATGGGGAGATTCACTGGTTTAGCTATTGTGGAGTAAACTACCCCGGAATAGTTCCCCATATGGAGGCTCCACTGTGGAATGAAAGTGATTTTAATTCTGGAATAAGTACTGTGCTAACAAAGTGGAGTCATTATTCCAGAATAAAATCACTTGGTAAGACAACTCCCATCTTTTCATGTGCTGTAATATATATACTGTTTACTGTGTTTTTCACTCTATACATCAGATGAAGTGGGTTTTAGCCCATGAAAGCTTATGCCCAAATAAATTGGTTAGTATCTAAGGTGCCACAAGGATGTCTCGTTTTTATTCTGGAGTAGACCATCTACCTGGTGGAATTAGTCCAGAATAGCCATGCTGGTCAATGTCCCCCGTGTAGACAAGACCGAAGAAAAATGTCTATAGTTATGGTTGTTGAGAGAACCTCAAGTGTGGACAGTGTAACCAATGTAGCAAAGTCTGAGTTTGCAACAGTCTAGGACAATAGCTTTGAGAGATGTGAACTGCACCATTCATTACACTGGGTGCTGACTCACATGCCCAGCGATAATACTTTAAATGTCAAACATTCTGAACTATTTTACTGCTATCAAAGCAAGTAAGAAAGCAGTGGGAAGATGATATTGTGAAGATCTGCACAATAGACTACAAATGAAACCACAAGCGGGTGGCCTTGGGGGAGAGTTGCCACTTTTAGCTCCCCGTCAATAAAGACCCAAGGATTTTAGCAGAGCATCTGAGCCCCACTTAAGGAGACCAAAACCTAGTGGAGCTTTCAAGCCCCAGTGAAGGGAAGCCAAACTGAGGAACCAACTAGTTTATTTGACTATATTTGGGTTGGGGGGGAGAATGAGACAAAATCCAAGGAGCCCAGTAGTGCCCTGAGAGCACGTCTACTTTTAGTAGCATCTTGTAGATAGGATTTATTTTGTGGGCACAGCTTGGAAGGGTACTCCTACAATTTTTAATCCTAACCCCCACCAATTGCAAATATTCCCTCCATTGTATGCCAAGGAGACAAACGACTTCGAGTAGCACAACTGGGATCTGGCCCTACCTACCCAGCATCTGGTCCAAAGTTGAATGAAATGGAAAACATTCTGCTTTAAACAGCACAGGAACCCCCTGGACAGAGAGGAAAAGGGCAATGATCTGGGTGGCCTCTGATCAGTCTCCATATGTGTGAGAGGGAAAGGCATAAATTGTTTACATAGCACCTGTTAAGGCTGATTCCCCACTCTGGCACTTCGAGTGCAGAAGGTGGGGCCTGCAAGGATTCTAAAAATTAATACTGGCCATTCCAGGCTTGTATTAAACTCCCAAGGTTACAGCTTTTCTCTGACCTTGGATGGGTAGATGTTACCACCACCCAAGAGCAAAACCCCTTTGAGGAACCAGGAAAGCGCACTTGGGAATTCCTTCCTGTGGGGTACACTCAAGTCCCAGCCCCCCTCCACTCCCGGGGAAGAGCTGAGAAAGAAAACAAAGGAAATCCGCTGTTGCCACCAGCTAATTAAACAACATATGCACAAACCTCTTAGGACACAAAAATCCAATTCTGTTCTTAAAAAAAGTAAATTTTATTAAAACAAAAAGAGAGAAAATACACCTGGAAACTCAGGCTATTGCTAGATTTAAAAAGAGCAAATACAAGGATTAAGCATAAGAATAGTTTCTTGAGGTCCAATTTAAAGGTTACAAGCAAAACTAAAGCACCTGGGGTTAGCACAGAGGAGTCCACAAGCCATAAAGAAATAAAAAAGAGA